TGAAGAGCAACACATGTTCTTATACCCGTACCGGGAAGATATGCTGCGAGGAATGTGTGATGATGCTATGCAAAAGCTAACCACTGACAAGATAGGAGCCGTATAGGCTATCGGATACTTTGGAACAAAGGGAGTCAAGGGGTCGCTTTTTGAATTCTTTCGATGTCACCTCAAGCTTACATAGAGCTCTCGATGACTCGGGAGCCTCATTACTATGTAATGCGTGTGATTTTTCAAGTGGGCAATCAGTTTAAACCGTATGTCAACATATCGAGTCGAAGTGTCAAACTTGGACGTGTATTGTCAAACTTGTGTGCGTATTGTCAAACTCGTGTGGAACATTGTCATTCTTGATTGTAATATATTTTACCGGTGTTAAACATGAATTCTCATTGTCAATCTTGGTTGCTACAAAATAGAAAAGTGACAAACTTGGATTTTCATTGTCAATCTTGACTGTAACATATCTCGATTATGACATACTTGAATTCTCAAAGTCAAACTTGATTGTAACAGAATTGAATTGTGACATACTTGGATTCTCATTGTCACTCTTGATAGTGACATTGTCATTCTTGCCTGCTCACTAGTCAAACTTGCACGGGAAAAGGTGTAGATGTTGAAATATTTGGCGATGTAATACGGAGCAACCACCAGTTCAGAGTGACGCTGGAGAGCGGGCGAAAATCCCAGGATTATACTTGCTGCGTCCGGCATCCAGACGCGTCTGGTGAATACTGACGCGTTTAGTGGTGGGGAGACGAGAATAGGGACGAGCGTCCCCAACCGAGGCCAAGGCCAAGGCGGTGATCGATGCGATGGTGGTGGCCGCCAAGGCAGGGGTGGAGCCGGGCGACATTGGAATAGTTGTGCCGTACAGCGGACATAAGGCGCAGAAAGAGGAGAGTCACTATAATGAGTTGAGGAAATGTTATAGTCTGATTATCGCCTGCCTCATGAAAACGTCGGGCGAGTCAGTATCAATACAGCGGATGCTTTCCAGGGAAACGAGAGAGAGCTTATTCTCTTCAGCGCAGTCCAATCCAATCGGGACGGCGATATTAGGCTCACTAGAGATTCCAGGTCTGTGAACGAGTTTCGGAGTGTTCGAGAGGTTGAGTTATATCACGACAGTTCATCATCAGGTGTAATTAAAGGCTTGATCAGGCCGGGTGCGATTGATCTTTACAACCACAGTTAGAATTGATCAAAAATTAACAACAGTATGAGATATGATCCAGATCCAAAACGCAGCTAAGGGTAACTAGTGCCATAGGCGAGCGCGCTCTAGACCACTATTCGCACCACTCTATCCTACACAAGCTACGGGACATAGCATCTCTTATTATCACAACTAGGCGACACTGATCGCCTGTATGGGTTGACATGCGTGCTGTATCGAAGATGGGTCCTACCCATTGAGTAGTGTCATAGAATTCGTGATTCTTCTATGTTGGTCATGGCGCATGCCCTGGCACTGCCATGTTAAACATGGTATATTTAGTGTTTGCGTCTGCTCGTGAATCAAATTTCATATGTCATGACCATTTGCTTACCCTAATTGTTTCCGACCGCGATGATTGTATCGCGGCTGCCTCTCGGTGGGCTCAACTACTGGCTAATAGGTAGCGAATCTATCAAGTTGGGTAGTTGCTACAGCTGAAAGCACTGGCACTCGACTTTTGGCTGAAATATCTTATAACGACGTGTAAGTTACACGTCGTCCTGTAAGTTACAGGTTTACACGGTGTAAACCTGTAACTTACAGGATGTAAGTTTTCAGAGAGGATCCCTCTCAAAAGTGCACGATGAGATGTTTCGAACGACCGGGTAAGCGTTGGTAAAGAGTGGCACTCACTTAGCGGCACTCAGCATTACTGGGTTAGTAAGTTCT